AAAATATTTCGGAAGAAATATGAAAACTTAGTTAGAGATTTACCAAAATCCAGATAGTGTATTGAAAAACAAAAGACCATCGAGCCATTATCTAATTATTCTTTTATTCTTTCATGATTGGAGCCTTGTTTTTTTAATATTTTTGAAGCATTACAGTCAGACCCATGGTTCAATAAAAAGGTAAGGTAGAGCTGACAGCTGATTACAATTGTTTTCTAAGTGTGCCCGACTTCTGCCAATTTTGTGTATGTATTATTTGTTTTGAAAAAAGATTGAATTGCGGCTCGTCCATTAAAGTTATTAACCAGTATAGCCATGAAATTGAAGATTGCACAGTTAGGAAAATATTTTTGAGAGAAAAATCCAGACATTTCATTCATTTTTTCGCACTATTTAACTCATTTTAAAAATGAGGAAAAATATGAAAAAAAAGAAACAATAATTTCGAATGAGTCTGATAGGAAGAGGGTATAGCCTCAGGGCTGTATTTTTGTAGTTTTACGAAGCCGTTTTACCTCCTTATTGTACCATGGTCAGACCCTTGTTTGAAACATTTCTGTATAATTAGAAATTTTTATTTTTATTATTATTATTTATTTATTATTATTATTATTATTATTATTTTTTTTTTTTTTGTAAGGGACCATCATGGTCTTCATTACGATTTTTAGAGTTTTAAGGACTCGCAATAATCTTGGAAATATTTAAAAATAATTATCGAGCTGTAAAAATGAAGTTTTTAAATATAAAAGCTTTGATCTATACTCATAAGTTTCTTGCAAATTTTATAACGATCTACAATATGTTTGTTATAAAAATGGCGAGTTTGAAGGAAATTTTCGGAGTATATTAGAAAGTAAATTTTTTTTTTTAATTTTTAAATGTTTGGATTTTTGAGTTTTAGAATTATGGTATATTATATTAGTTATTTAAGTAGCTGTTTCATATAATGTGTTCTTATCCCCTGAAGTTTGCTAATTTCATGCTCACACTTGCAAGAATTCAATACAAAATATGCTGCCTATTTGATCCCCCTTCCCCCATAAATTATTTTCCCTTTTTTATAAAATATTTAAATTAAGTCGTAGTGACAAGCATTGAGATTAAATGTGACCAAAGGTATTTTTATATAGCGATGGTATTATTAATGTTTATATTTAATAATAAATAAATCAATCGTCACATTGAAGGGGTGGGGAGATACAAATAAAAGTTTAATATCGACACAGTGTTAATAAAATTCCAAGGAGATGCTGACATTTTTGGAATATTGAAGATTTTTCTTACCACAAATTGGTCCCATAGGAATTTACAAGAACATAAAATAAAATATGTTGTATATTTTTTTGAGGGAGGAAAAACAGAATAACAATTTCGGTGTTTTTGACATACTTTCTCAGGGTCTTCTATTAGGAATTTTGTAGATTAAAAATTTATATTTAATTAAAAAAAATATTTATAACTTTGTATATGAAAAATGTATAACTTTTTATGAAGAACTCTAGCTAAAATTTATTATTTTCAATTTGTCACAAGTTTCTCGCTTTTCATGTCATTGTGATCCGGTTATTAGTTTGTTGTAACACTTTCGCAATACATTTACATGGATGTATTTTTTTTTATTTTCATTTTATTTATTTTTATATTTTTTTTATTTCCATTTCCTCTCTATTTTTTGCCATTTCATTTGTTTATTTTTAATGCTAATCTATGTTGCTATGTTTTGTAATTTCTTCTTTTACGTTTCTTTTCTCTGTTTTTTTTTCTTCTTCAAAGAGGAACAGGTGTTTGACATTTGGTAGCCAGAAAATTTCTTCATTTTCATCATCTTGTCCATGGTTGGGTTTCTTTGGTATTGCCTCATATTTATTTTGAATTTTGATTAGTTTTGCTTGTGGTGATCGATGCCAACAATCATGAAACTACAGCCACACCACTCAAAACGACCCACCTGCAGTTAAAGCATTTAAATGCACACTTTTTATCATGAAATTGATTTATTTGAATTCCAAAAATATTCAAATACAGAGAAAAAAAAAACAAAATTAAATGGAACAAAAATAAATAGCACATTTTGAGGGCGTAATTTAAATAAAATTAAATTAAAAAAATGTCAGGCCTTATTACGTTTTGTTGGAATAAAATTAAAAGAAATGTTGGCATGGCGCCCAATTAAATGGGAACAAATAAAAATTAAATTAATGATTATATATATTTTTTATGATTTGAAGACATGGAAATTGAAGTTTATTTTGTCGACATCTGAATTATTTTCAAACTGATGCTTCTCAAAATAATACGAACTCATGGAACAGTAACCCATTTAAAATAGAGCTTTAGGTTTCTTTAATTTTAAATAGTATTATTTCTCTACATGTATGAATCCAACCTATTTCAAAATTTCTCTCTATCTAAATATCCTCCCACCGTCAAACCCCTTTCCGATCGCAAAACATTCAATATATTTTATTTTCTTGATTAATTTTGATAAATATTTAATTTATTCGAGCACCAAAAACAATCCCGTAAATTATCTCCAGACACAAATGTTGCTAATTTTATAAAGTTTATTCATAATTAAGAAATTAGCATAACGGGTTATTAAAGTTTTTTTTTTGATACTGGGTTTTTATTGCTTATATGGTTTTTGGTATTCACAAAATTCTGGTTTATTCAAACAAACAAAAACCCTCTCACACACACACACACCCAATACACAATTTAATATTATTGTTAAATGTTCAATTAAAAATATTGGCTTGCAGAAAAAAAAAACATAATATACATTTTTACCATAAAATAATTAAAATTAAAATAATTTTAAAATTTTGTTTATGCAGTCCATTGTACCGTTTTATTTACAAAAGTGTAATTAATTCAATGAATTTAATATGCGAAACAAATAAAAACATTATGATAATAATGTAGGTGGCGGAACAAAGATACATGGGTTCTTTTTTTCTTTAGTTAATTTTTTTTGGGTAAAATTTATATTCTGTTTAGAGACAAACATAGAGAATATTCAATGAAGATATTAGAGAAACATGCACAGAATCTAATTGCGGCACAAAGAAAAGTTCTACATATATGAAGAGCTGTAAATTCAATCAAATTTTTAGTTTGTTGCTGATCAAAAAAATATATCTTATATTGAGATCTAGTAGCCTTCATCTTCTATATAATAAATTTCCGTCATTGGAGTTAGAACGTATTGCGCACTCCAAATATGAACAATGAAATAATTTCTTCTGAAAAAAGGTGGCTAAAGTTATCAAAATGCCCACTATCGGAAAGTAACTTTATATGAGAGCTATAAAAAATCGTGTACATACAGGGTGAGATAAAAAATGAAACAAAATCAAACGCCATAAATTTTACATTTTTTGTTTTTAATTTTTTGAATGAAAACAAAAAACGTGGGAAATAGCATCAAATTTTAGAATAGTTTAGATTTGTTCGAATTGGTCATCTTTGGCACGAATTATGGCCTTCAAACGACCGAAACCGTCACACGCTGCCCGAATGTGGCTCTGCGGTATTTTGGCGCATTCCCGGCGAAGCGCTTGCTTGAGGTGATCGACACTTTGGTATTTTTTAGTGCCAACCTTGCTTTCCAAAATTCTCCAGACACAATAGTCCAACGGATTGGTATCCGAAGATTTTGGTGCCCATTGTGCGCTGGAAATGAAGCGAGGAACCTCATTTTGTAACCATTCTTGGGTGGCGCGTTCTGAGTGCGATGGTGCTGAGTCCTGTTGGAATGTCTAAGGTCTGCGGCCAAAATGTTTGCGTGCCAAAGGTTTTAATACACCCTTCAGAATATTTTCGTGATAATATGCGGCATTTATTCTGATGCCACGGTCGATTAATATGAGCGGAGAATGACCATCCGCTGTTCGCTTGAGTTCTGGTGGCCAACCGAAGGTGCACATTTTCACCTGACCTCTTTGGAAAGTAAACACAATCATTTTGTTTTTTTACAAACTGCTGGACAACAAATGTTTTCTCATCGGAGAAAACTAAATTCGGCAGTTCACCACTTTCGGCCAAGCGAGGCAACTCTTTAGCTCTTTTGAGTCTATATTCTTTCTGTTGCGGTATAAGTTCTTGCACTTTTTGGAAATTCATTGGCTTTACCCCGAGCTCATTTTTCAATATTTGCCGAATGAAAAATTGCGATATATTCAGCTCACGAGCCATTTTTCGGCCACTGGGACGCGGGTTTCGATCAAGTCGCTTCTTTACTTTTCGAGCCATTTCTTCTGATGTTGCGTTTTCTTCCGTCCACTTCCTTGACGTCGGGCTACGCTACCAGTATCACGTTAACGAGCGATGGTACGAGACACAAAAGATTTATTCACATTTAAATGCTGAAGTGCTCTAACGGTAGTCATTTTTTCATCTAACCCTGCATATGGGAACTATACAGGGTTGCCCATATTCGACGGACCTTTGGGCCCATTCCAATCGACGAGGCTTGTCCGCAGGCAACATTCTTTGCGTCAATTGAATTTTGTACGGGAACAAATGCAAATCAATGCGAATAATCCGTTGTAAAGGATGGTTTCCTACATACTGCGATCACAAGGTGACAATTTACAGCAGATTTGGTTTACATTTGCCGGCAGATTTATAAGAGGTTATAACGAAACGTGGACCTATACTATTCATTTTCAATAATAACATATCTAGGGACCTAAAATACGTCTGAGTAAGATTTATTTCGTTCGGAAGCTAGTGTGCTTACCATAAACGAACATGGCTAAATCGACATAAAATTGTAAGCTGATCCGCATTAATTCTTGGCAAGGTCTAAAATGTAGATTTTCATATAATTCCATTGGAAAAATGGGGCTAAATTAATCAAAATTCCGAATATCGGGTGGTACCGTTGTATGGAGGTATGAAAATAGTATTTGGAGCATTTAAGAATAACACAGATGAAATTTTATCGTTTTTTTTTTTTTTTTTTTAATATTGATTTCTTAAATTACGCTTACTTTTTAATATAAATAATCCAATACAAGGAATTGCAAGGGCTTTCCCAGTTATTAAATATTCCCAGTGCTATGAGAGTGGCCACCAGTTACAAATTGTTGCTGATATTTGATGTACAACATGTAAAGCACAGATTTTTTCGCTCTTCCTTTTTGAAATTCTTGAGGGTGTAACTTTTGGTGATTTCTTTCTCTTTTATTTATTTATTACGTTTCACTGGTATATTTTAAACTTTCTTCACTTTGACTTAGCTTTAAAAGATTTCTTCCCTTTTTTCGTTGCTTCTTTAAATATTTCTTTGTAAACTTTTTTTAAAAAAAACAACACTGAGAATTAAAACTTACGATGTTGTAAGGCAAATCACTTCACTTCTTTTTCTTTTACAAGAAACACTGATGATGATAATAGCAACAACAGAAAACACAAGAAAATAATAATCACCGAACAACACCACCAGACACTGGTCGAATGAAGTGCGGCACACAAAAACAACAATTTAATATTACAACAATATCAATGCTTAATTTTGGAACGCTTGGTTTTTTTTTTTTTTTTTTTGTAAATTTATATTTCAATTTTGAGCATTGACATGGGATCGATCGATTCTTGAGAGCAGACAGAGCTTTGTTTGGGAAACCATGAAAAATTGAAACAATTTTAATTGATTGGAATTTTGTATTCGTTTAATTTTTATTGATTTTTAAATTATGGCTTTATTATTGTTGAGAATGATGCTCGTATGCATGTATGTATGTATGGCTTGTAAACATATACTATATTTTACAAAAACAGATGAGGAGTAAAATACACACACACTCACAATGTAAATTTCGAATAAATATTTAAAAACACTGATAAGAAAGACAATTGGACTTTATGGTACTATTCTGTCGCCTCGTACACATATTATTTTTCCATTTATTTATTTATATTTTTGTTTTTGGTTTTTTACAAAACCAAAACAATGGCTTTTGTTGCTCTCTGTTATTAAACAAAAAGACAATTTTTTTTGTTTTATTTTAATTCCCACGTTAGGCAAAATTAAAATCGGTATTTAGGTTTTTTTAATTTTCTTTATTTTGAACTGAAGTTCTCGACACTAGGTTTTATCACGACGACTTTGACGTACGTAAATCGATCTGTTTGGGGTTTTTGTTTTTATTTTGAAATTTTCTTTTGCTCTTTCGCTTCGGTATTGAAAACATTTAAGTCCGTTCAAAACGGTATCTCGCTATTGACTAAAATACGACAAAACAAATGAAACACATTTTTCCCATATGTTGGTTGGCTGGTTGGTTTGTTTGACTGACGGACAAACTGACGGCGACTACTTCTTCAGTAAAGTTAGTGCTGTGGCCGCAGCTGTCGCTGTTGACGTTCCGCAGTGTCGCATTCGTCGTCACAGTGTTAAGTTAATAGTTTGCATTGTATTAAAAACGTCAACAGTGCTGCCAACAGCGCAGCCAACGTCAGTTGATCATCATTATTATGCACATCTCTCTCTCGCTCTCCGTTACCATTGTGACATGACAGCGACAGACATGACGACAACAATGAATGACAATAATGATGATAATGTTGTTGTTGTTGTTGCTGCTCATTATTATCAACTTTGTGATAATCATGATCATGGGGTTTTTCTTTTTGTCTTACCCACAGTCGAACAACGTTCACTTGTTTTAATCCATTTGTAGAGAAATCCCTTCATTTAATTGTTGTTGTCGACGCTGTTTTCAGTTTTTGCTTTTTTTTGTCGGTGAAGATGCATCGCTCATACCTGGATGATGCCATTCGAGGCAAAGAGCAACAGTTGGTTTTGCTCGTCTTTGTCTCACATTGTTTTAGTTGTTTTTATCATTATTAAGTAATGAATGTTAGTTGGGTTTTTTTCTAACACCCTACACAGCTAGGTGGTACGTAACATGCTGAATGTTGTATGTAGCACTTCTCAAGTGATCGCACACAGAAAATGATAAAATGTGTCCTGAACCGAAAAATATAGGAAAACTTCAGCTATAAAAAGTAAACAAGTAAAGAAAGTCTTAAAGTCGGGCGGGACCGACTTTATGATACCCTACACCACTTTGCTAATTTAGTAGAGCTCCGCATAACAATTAATAAAAGTTTTTATGGGAGAATACATTCATACACGCTATGAAAGTTCAAAGGATTAAATATGCCGAAGCATTTGTATCTTTTAAATTCGTACTTGTATTGCCCATTTGGTTCACAATTAATTTGAATTCGGATAAAAATATATATGGGAGCTATATCCAAATCGGAACCGATCTCGATAAAATTTGGCAAATATATTTCTGAGCTGTATTAGATATATTTCCCTGAATATCGTTGTTATGGAGTGCATATTACGGCTGTGGGTAACAAATATAACAAATCGGATGAACAATATATATGGGAGCTATAGCTTTACCTGAACCGATCTTCACGAAATTTGACATACTAGCTTCAATTCGGTAGTAAGTGCCAAATTTCATTCCATTTGGGCAAATATTAGGCTTTTGGTGCACAATAAATGGTAAATCGGACGAAGTTATATATGGGAGCTACATCCAAATCTGAACCGATCTCGATAAAATTTAGCAAATGTATTTCTGAGCTGTATTTGATATATTTCCCCAAATATTGTTGTTACAGAGTGCATATTACGGCTGCGGAGGACAAAAACAACAAATCGGATGAACAATATATATGGGAGCTATAGCTATATCTGAACCGATTTCGATAAAATTTGGCATACTTATTTTCAGGCCTAATTTGGTTGTGTGTGCCAAATTCCCTACTATTCGGACTGATATTACACGTTTGGTGCACAATAAAAGGCAAATCGGATGAAGATATATATGGGAGCTATATCTAAATTTTGACCGATTATTTCCATTTTCAATAGGGTTCGTCATTGGGCCAAACAAATGATTTGTGCAAAATTTCATGAATAGGGCAATAAACAGATGAAATATATCGAACCACTTCTTCTAGTACCTTCCCTACAACCGTAAAATTTTTGACCATTCACAAAATCCCAGTAGTTTGACTAAATATTCAAAGATCTGGTGTGATAATGGAAAAAATCGACCCACTCCTTTGCTATCTCCCTCACACGAATAAAATGGGATTAAGCATCTGATTCTCTTTAAACTTTAAATATTTTAATACTTCTGCTAACGCAAAATCTGGTGTGAAGATGGGATATTTCAGTCCATTCCTTCTGGTACTTCCCCCCATAAAGGGTTTAAAATTTTGAATAACCAAAACGCACTAGTTTAACCGACGCAATTCCTTCTGCTACCACCCCCACAAAGGGTTACAATTTTAAATATTTATATCTCCCATAGCATGCGAAACAAGTCAGAGATTCTATTCAAACTTGGTATATTAAAATATGTCTGCCAAAGAGAGATCGAACGTAAATATGGATTAAAATAATTAATAACAATTTTGGTACCTGCACCACACCAGCTTAAAATTGTAATCAATTATTCGGATAGAAATAGCAATAAATCTTAGATTTTCTTTAAATTTTGCAAATCCAGATTTCGGGTTTCGATCGAGTCGCTTCTTTAATTTTCGAACCATTTCTGCTGATGTTGCTGTTTTCTTCCGTCCACTTCCTTGACGTCGGGCTACGCTACCAGTATCACGGTAACGAGCGATGGTACGACACACAAAAGATTTATTCACATTTAAATGCCGGAATGCTCTAACGATAGCCACTTGTTGGTTTCCAGCCAAATATAAAGAAATCACACCATCACGCATGAATTCTATCACGAATATTTTTTTCTGGAAATTTCTCACCAAAATTCTCTCAATATAATGAGCTGTCATTGGAATAATTTTAACAGCTGTCGGACAAGTAGCTTAGAAGTGACAGTAGTCTGAAGTTGGTTGCAGTTTTTTCATCTCACCCTGTAAACATTATCCGATGACCATTCAACACATAGTGTTGTAGGGTGTAAATATGTTTTCCCAAATCAATATTTTCAAATATATTTTCGACATTTTGAATATTCAAAGAAAATATATTGAACCAGAGATTTCGTTTTTTAATAATTATTATAAGCCTAAGTAGTACATTTGTATAGCTCATCCTAAAGTCGTCTTGGCTCATACCAGTTATATTTAGCATGCTTCTTTGTATTCCTCTGCAAACGTTTTGATGGCGACGCCAATCATTGTCTTGTCTTTGGCCAGAGTATTTACCAGAGTCGTTTCAATACTCTCTTTCTCTCTTTTTTCTTTTTGTGTTTTAATTCACTTTAATATCTCTTTCGTCTTTTCTGCTTGTGTGAGCTGAGTTTTAAGCACATGATTTTTGTTTTTTTGATCATGGCTTAAACGAATTTTGTGATCAAAACAGAAAAGGAAAAAACATGTTGCTATTGGTTTTGTTGATATATACAATGTTGTGTAGCTTTGGTGAATGCAACATGTTGAAAGTCGTACAATATAAGTTAGGTTTGGTAAATGTTTATAAACAAAAATGTAAAGCTTAGAATTTAATTTAATTAAAAATCGTTAATTATATTATAAGAAATATAAGTTAGTTTAATTACGAAAAAAAAAGAATATCGGTACCATAGATAGAAATTATTTCAAAAAATATCTTATTAATATAAATCTAGTAACCTATTGAGAGATAAACCGCTCACAAAAACAAACCACATAATTTGAAAACATATACCGCAGCTACATATATGTCCATGAAGGTACACATAAAACATGCATTTATACTTAGCAATTTTTGCAAAATATATTTTAAAACGGGGTTAATGTTCTCATCTTCGCTCGTCTACAAAGTAAGCTCTGATAAAGAAGCATTCATTCAATGGGGCAATAGACGATTTTGAATCTGCTGCTACAGCATTGACTTCTAACCTTATTTTGATTGAAATGTGTGCCATTGACCAGAAAATTCAACGATGTTTCGTAAGATCAGCAGAGCGTAAATCAAACATAAATATATCAATTCAGTTAGCATTAATGTGATACTAAGTGTCATGTCATATTGGTGCAAGTCATATGAAACTATGCATGGATTTTTCTATCTAGCCGATCTGAGTCGATCTAGTTATGTATGTATGTCTGTCCGTCCGTCTGTCCATCTAAAATTGTAATCACGCTATAGATCGCAACTATGACCCGATCCTCTGGAAATTTAGCTTGGAGTTAGGGTTAATGTTGAAATAGAAGTCTATTGTTTTTAGAGATGGTCGTAGAATACTTAGGGGTTGAAATGGACCAAAAATAAATTTTGCAGTTGCTCTCGGGTCGCAATTATAGACCAATCGAATTTGGTATGGTGCTAGAGTTTTGGCCTGGGCAGTAACTGGGCAATAACTTACATCGAATAATATTTAATGGAAATACATGTATGCATGGGTCTGTCTTTTGTCTGCAAGCAGGTCAAGTTCGAAAATAGGCCATATCGGTCCACGATATCGTATAGCCCCTATACAACGGTGCCCCCCGATATTCGGTATTTTGATGATTTAGCCACATTTTTCAATTGAATTGGCTCAAAATCTACACAAGGAGTTCCTTGTGACTACATTACCTCCTAAAAACAGAATTGTCTTGATAGGTCCACGATATCGCATATCTCCCATTGTCTTAGATTCTACGCAAGGAGATTCCCTCTGAGTACTTTACCCCCGGGAATAGAATTGTCTGTATATGTCTACGTTTTAGTATAGCAGCGATATAACGCTACCCCGAGCTATTCGGTATTTCCTGGAGTTTCGCCCCCATATAAAGGTTTTCATTTGGGCGGTATTTTTCGACGGATTTTTTTTTCGTAATGATTCCTTTTGAATGGTCCTTGTTCTGTAACATTTTGTGGTATGTTTTTTTGTCATATTTCTTATCGCATGAGATTTTTTTCAATTTGACATAGGGTTACGATTAGAATAGAAGCCTATTCTTTTTGAATATGTTTGCAAAATATTTATATATATATACAAAAATATCAGCCAAAAAGCTACCACGAACAGGCTTGTGGGATCATATCCTTTCAATATAAAATATATCCTTAAAAAAATTGCTGCCCTTTGTCATCTATAGCCCCACGAAATCCTTATCTCTCATGTTGCACCAAAGACAAATGGCGTTATGTGTTAAATGTTATGATCTCCGGATTCAACTATGCATTTGTCTCGAAAATGAGCTTAAATGAAAAAATTGCATTGATAGTTCTACAATTGAGCATTGAATTGAATTTATAAAAAACCAGTAAAGAAAGCCTTCAAGTCGGATGGGACCGACTTTATGATACCCTACACCA